TTCTGAAGCCTGTCAACCCAGTACATAGATAAAGTATGACCATATTTCTTTCCTGTAAAGAAATCTACAACTTGCTTTTCAGGTAATAAAGCAGCTTCAGCATGTATTTGGCTATGTTGTGAAAAGAGTAGCTCACGACCACCAGTAACTCCAGCTTCAGGGATCCAGTGGCTTCCTCTGCCCCTCACCAGCATCTGCACATGCATGGCATTTACACGAGTGTCTGCAAGCTTGCTTGTGCACACACATGCCACACACACACACACACACACACACACAAACAAAATAAATCTAAAAATGATATGCAATAAACATTTCCCTAAATCATTAAATAATTGACATTGTATTTAACTTTGAATAGTGCTAAATTAATGATATTTTGTCTCACAAAGATAACCTAATTTGGAATTTTGTATTATCTACTTCGGAAAACCCCAAGATTTTGACAACATTACCAGTGTTCCTATTACAAGAGAGCACCAGACTTAAAACAAACAAACAAACAAACAGAAACCAATTTCAGGGTCAAGTTTTAAAATGTATTTTTATTTTTGTGTATCTGTTTGTGTGTGTGGGTGCTCACTGAGGCCAGAAGAGGATGTTGGATCCCCTGGAGTTGGAATTATAGGTGGTTGTTAGCCGTCTGGTGTGGGTGCTGGGAACCAAACTTGGGTCCTCTGGAAGAGCAGCAAATGCTCTTAACCACTGGGCCATGTTCCCAGTCCCCAATTTTTCAGCACTTTGTATTTTAACGATGTCTTGCTGTGCTACCCCTAGCTATGGGACGTATTTGGAAAGTAGGTTGACAGGATGTTGAGGTTGCGTGTATCAATAATGAATTGTTGATGTAGTTAGTAGTCATCTTCTGTGGCTGTGTAATCATTTGAGTCCTTTGGTTCTGAATTTGTCTATTTAGAAATGAGAATGAGCTAGACAATTTAAAAAGCCTCCTTCGGCATTCCAGTTCTCATTTGTCTTGAAGTGATGTCTTGCTTTCCATATCATACTGATTGGTGCTTTTCACGTGGTTTCCTCTTCTAGTCAACTGTCTTGGTGTAGTGCATAGTGTTCTTTTTATTAATGAAATTTATTCATTCTATATCCCAACTGTAAAATTTCCTTCCTTCCTCTCCTCCCTGTCCCTCCTGCCACCTCCCCACCCCAACATCCTATAGTGCATTTTTAATAGGTTGAATAATGGTCAATGTTTAGATTAGGTTCACCACAAAATCAAATGGGAAAGTTCCCACGGCCTTCCTTCCCAGGGTCAGCCTACCACAGGGTAGTGTATTTGTTACAACCAAGGCACTCAAATTGACACGTTGCTATTGTCCCAAATCCAGAGTTTTAAGATTTACACTCTGTGCTGTATATTCTGTGGCTTTTGACAGACACATTGAGACACACGTCATTATAATATCATAAGCAATAGTTTAACTGTCAGAAAACCCTCTGCTGTCCCTGTTGAGTCTCTGTCCTCTTAGACACTGATCTTTTTGCTGTGCTCATCCTTCTGCCTTTTCCAGAATGTCATGTAGCTAAGTCCATGCAGTATGTTGTCTCCTCAGATCCAGTTTTTCCAAACGGAGACATGTACTGGAGTTTTTACATGTGCTCTGATAGCTTACTCCTTTCCAGCACAGACTAACATTCCACTTATTGGATTACCACAGGTTATTTGTTACCTCCAAGTTTTGACACTGAAAAAAACACTGCTGTAAACATTATATATGCAGGGTTTTTAAATAAGTGTACTTATTTTTATTTTATGTATAGGAGTGTTTGCCTGCATGAATGTATGTGCATCGCGTGTGTTCCTGGTGCCTATGGAGGCGAAAGGGTGTTGGATCCTGTGACACTTGTGTTACAGGCTGTTGGAGATGCCATGTGGGTGCTGGGACCTAAACTTGGGTCCCCTACAAGAACAGCCAGTGCTCTTCACTGTTGAGTCACCTCTCCAACCTGTGCTTCAGGTTTTGTGTGGACATTGCATTTTAACTAATTTGGGTAAACCTTTGTTTTTAATTTTATGTGTCTGGGTGTTTTTCCTGCATGTGCGCCCATAGAGGGCTGAAAAAAGGGCATCAGATCTCCTGGAACTGGAGTTGGAGACGGTTGTGAGCTGCCATGTGGGTGCTGGGAATTAAATCCTGGTCCTCTGGAAAAGCAGACAGTGTTCTTAACCCTGAGCCATTTCCCTGCCCCTTGGATAAACCTTTAATATACTTCTCATTTGAGACCCTTTAGTATTATTTTAAGTAAGCTCAGAAAGATTGTGCCATGGATATTCTCAAAGCTGGGATCAACAGATTCCGTATTGGAGGTCACAGACCGCAGGAGAGTGAACATGCTGTATAAAGGGCAAAAGTTTTCTTTCTGACATTTTCCCTAGAATGCAGATTTAAATCTGATGATCAATGAGCATCTTGGTCATAGCCAACAAACCCCAAAGTCTTCTTTCTGATCTTGAAAGGCAAGATGAAGATTCTAATGTTAGCCGTGCTGTGTTGATCTGGAAGCAAGGTATGGACGCTTGCCCATCAGATGCTGGACTTCACAAGTGACATGAAATGGATGCAAAATGACAGGCAGGTCTGGCGTGTTTCCCAGCTGTAGGCTGGCGGAAGATGATCCCTCAGATGCCAATTCTTTCCGCCTCTTGTTCTTTCTCTTCCATATTTTTGCCCTTCTCTCTCTCTTCTTTTTGTAGGATACAAATCAAATAAACTAGAGCAAAGTATAAATTAGAAGCCTTATATGAATGATAAGATCTGCTTTCATCACCTCTAATGTTTTTAGTATTTGGCTGTTTTAAAGTGGTTTGTTTCCATGCAACAAAAAATGTCTCATTGAAATGTTTTTTACATTGTTTCTTTTGCCAGAGCTATCCATGTAAGCCATGTTTCAGGAGAATTTATTAGTGTATATGTGTGTGTGTGTGTGTGTATGTGTGATAAATCTACAGGTGTTAACAAACCATATTGAACTGATGATTAGTGACATGTGTATGTACAGTTGATGTACCCTCAGACTTTGTAACTTGAACTTTTCAGAGTTTTAATGGTCTTTCTTGGCAACAAAGTTTTGGTTTCTGCTAGGCCTGTTGGTACAAGCCTGTAATCCCAGCATTTGGGAGGCAGAGTTGGAGCCGTTGTGAGATTGAGGCTAGTCTGGGGACCTAAGGATATTTTGTCTCAAAAGTGAAAACAGAGAAAGAAAATTTTCTGTTCAAACATTCTTCTTTAAAAAAATTATTAATTGGGGTTGGGGATTTAGCTCAGTGGTTCAGTCCTCAGCTCTGGAAAAAAAAGACAAAATAACAAAAAAATTATTAATTTTTATTTTATATGCATTGGTGCTTTGCCATGGGTGTCAGGTTCTCTGGAACTGGAATTACAGACAGTTGTGAGCTGCCATGTGGGTGCTGGGAATTGAACCCAGGTCCTCTGAAAGAGTAGTCAGTGCTCTTAACCACTGAGCCATCTCTCTAGCCTTGTTCAAATGTTCTTCAGAGAATGTTTACCATTCATTTTTATGAACATTGTTTACATTTTAATAGAATATATTTAACAGAAAAAGTTAAATTGTTCAAAGTACATGTGAATGTGAATATACAATTTCTAATTTTTTATTATGTAATAGTTTCAGGTCTCCCACAAGATTTTAGGGGCTGATTAGGACAATGTGTTGTTGCCGTACAAGAGATCACTCTTTCATGTTGACTGGATTAAAGCAGAAATATTTCAGTCAAAATTGTTAGAATCTTGAAAAGACCAAGCCTATTTCTTTATTTTTATTACATTTTAAAAATACATATGCAATGTTTTACATATGTAAGTCAGAGGACAACTCGTGGGAGTTCTCTCCTTCCATCATGTGGGTGCCAGGTATTGGATTCAGGTTGTCAGGCTTGGTGGCAAGCATCTTTACCCACTGAGCTATCTCATTGACCCTCAAACTGAATTTTAAAAAGAGCTTTATATTATTATTATTATTGCTTTCAGTCTTCTAAAACAATTCTTTCATAGCGAAATTGGGTGACTTAGGCTGTCTCATAGTTGATGAGGTAGTTACAGGATTGAGACTAGACTGGACTGTTTGTCTCAGTGTCACACTGCTTTTGTGTATGTTACTATAATAGACTATCTTACAATATTTCACTATCATCTTGTTATGTTCTGGTTACTATGGAAAAGAAGATAAATACAGGCCACTTCTTCAGCATGACTACAACATTAATAGGACTAGAAGACTGGGAGACATTGGAGTGGGAGGAACTGGTGATCTAGCTTGTATTTTTATGAGTAAACTGTGGGATGCTAATCAGCTTTAGTCCTGTGGGCAGGACAGTTGAAACAATCGCACTGTTAAGTTTCTGTCTAGCAGACCTGTCCAGTGGTGAGACAAGGCGAGGGTCAAGATCATGATGAGGAAAATCACAGAGACAGCTGATCCGAGCTAGTGGGAGCTCATGGACTATGAGCTGACAGCTGGGGACCCTGCATGGGACCTAACTAGGCCCTCTGCATGTGGGTGACAGTTGTATGGCTTAATCTGTTGTGTGTGGGCACACGTGGACGGGACTGGTAGTGTCACCAGGTGCATGAACTGGCTTTTTGGAGCCCATTCCCTATGGTGGGATACCTTGTTCAGCCTTGATAAAGAGGGGAGGGGCTTGTCCTGCCTCAACTTGGTATGTCAGACTTTGTTGACTCTACAAGGAAGGCCTTACCCCCTCTGAGGAGTGGATAGGAGGCGGGAAGGGGAGGGGTGAGGGATGGGAGATGCAGAGGGAGGGGGAACTGAGGTTGGTATGTAAAATGAAAAATAAAATTTTTTAAATAAAAAAAATTAAGATAAGAATTAAAAAAATAATAGCACTGGGTGAGTGTGAGAGAAATGTACAGGACAAGGCCAGGATTAAAATGCTTAGTTTTGTCACGTGGCCCTACTGTGCACAGTTGCATCCAATGTGTGATTCATTGTGCTATCTCTTACAGATATTGAAAATTTCCTCTAAGGAGAAATATCCATTGTTTACTTTTGTAAATGGCCATTCCAGAGACTTTGATTTTACATCTACTGCAGCCAGTGAAGAAGACCTTTTTTCAGAAGAGGAAAAGAAACGATTCAAACGATTTAGCACAGAAGAGTTTGTCCTGCTTTAAGATGAACACATTTGTGTTTGAGAAGAACTTGACCACGGTAGAGCCATGGAGAGTAACAAGTGGCCTGAGAACCTTTGTGGTCAAATCCTAACTGTGCATGTCCTTTTAACACTGCACATTTGAAAATACCCAGACTGTAAAGATATGTTTTCTGAAAGAAACGACTTGATGGCTCTTGCTTTCCAGATAAGTAACAACGATTCTGCATTCTGCTTCCCAAAGATGTGCTAACAAAACACTTCCTTACCCATCAGCCTTCTGGTCCCCAGCTTCTTCCACCTGAGCCCATTGGTCCCCTGGAGGTTTTATGATATAGATTCCCTCAAAGATTGGGATCACCAAATTAATTCTAAAAGCCTGCTTGGTGTTAATGACAGAGACCAGAGACTGGATCTTTAGACCTAGCTTCCTGCTGTTAATGGGACCAGAGGATGCACTGGGTTTATGTATTTAGATAACTAAATGGACACGTAAAATCAAGTAAGCAGGATTTTAAGGCAATACTCAATAATATTTTATAGCAGATACTCATTATGCCTGCTACAGAGTGGTAAGGAATGAATATAAAGCATTGTGTTTCCTTCCTTCCTTCCTTCCTTCCTTTCTCTTTTCTTTCTTCTCTTTTGGGGATTGAACCCAGGGCCTTGTACATGCTAGGCAGGTATTCTACCTCTGAGCTGTCCAAAAGTGTCCATTTCCCCCATGTATTTAAAAGTTAAGTTGTTAGTACTATCTATATTTATTTTAATTAGGTAAAGGAAATTACAGAATAGTTGTAGCATTTTTTCCTATCTTAAAAGTGAAATTTAATAGAAATTCAATTTGTTACTCAATTTTTAAGTCTAAAGATGAATACCAAGAAAGATAGGGATGCTATCTGATTTTGATCTTTGTATAAGTGATGTAATGGTGTTTAGACTATTTACAGGTTAAATCTGCCTTAAGTGTGTTGTGAGTTTACTTAAAGACAAATTTGTGATGTAAAAATATGAGTTATTACATACCAGGATTATAAAACAAATACTTTAATAAAAACACGAGAACATAAAATGCTTTTGTTTTGGCTTTGATGTTGGAATTATTTTAATTCTCTTATTGAAAAAAATCACTATCTAAAATGAATTCTGTTTGTTTCTGATGAATGGAAATAATGTTGCTTAGTATGTATTTTATGAAGCTCCTGTGTTTCAGTGTGGAATGATGACTTATAAAGATGTAAAAGTTTGTGTCATGCAGCCATTGCTCTCCTTTGTCAGAGAATCCCTTTGTTTACAGTTGCATGTTAAGCCAAAACAGAGGGTGGGAGATGACTTCAGTAAGCCTGAAGAATAAAAACAGGTTTGACATTTCCCATTGAGGATGGTTTATTGAATTGAAGTAGTCTAAAAATCTAAGTTTTCCCTTTGCCCTAGATAAATCTGGACAAATTAAGTTCAATACTCATTTTCCTAGACTGTCAAGGCAGTATAAGAATGAGAGGCCAAGAATATGCCAGATTTTATGTGCTGCATTCCTCTGGTCTCAGACACTGCAGGACTGGCCAGCAGACACATTGCATGCAAGCACTTAGACTGTCATGTGGGTCAGTACTGATGGTGAGTGTTCCCATGTAAGAACTCTATAAAAACTTGAGGTTGCAGAAGAACCCCTTCACTTCCCTAGTTCTTTAAGAGATAATATTAAAGTAGAATATTGGAGTAAGACAACATTCTACCTGGACAATGGTAAGGAGAGAGGAAGTAGCAACTCTTTACATTTAATTCCATTTTAAATGCTCTTTCAGAATATTGTGTAGTCAAAACAAGCAAATCTTACAACACAATCATCTACCAGACTGGGAATAACTGTCTAGAATCAGAAACTCTTAGCATAATGATATGTACCTAAAGCATATTCAGTAATGTGTAGGGGTAAATGAATGTATGGATGCAAGTTAGGAGTGATGGGTTTATCTTAGTCATTTGCTGATCCACCTTCATCTGAGGACCAGTCAAAGCCGGGCTACTCTCTCACTAGGGAAGCAGCAGCAGGACTTTACCATTAGGGCCAGGATAGAAGCACTTTGCTTTGAACACAGACTTGAAGTTCTGCAAGCCTGGAAGCAAAGTCAGGTATGCTTTGGAGTGTTCCCTTCATGCCCAGAAGCATGATCAGGGATGCTTCTGAGTGCTCCCTTCCAGTCCAGAAGCACGATCAGGCACACTTCTGAGTGCTCCCTTCCTGCCCAGAAGCACGATCAGGCACACTTCTGAGTGCTCCCTTCCAAGGCAGACTCTAAGAGGAATATTCTTTAGAGCCCTGATGGATAAGAGTCTCCCATTAAGATACTGATCCTTACCAGGAACATTTCAGAAATGACTTTGTACAAGTTTTGATTGAGTTTTTTTAAACAAGGGTTTCCTTTGTTTTTATAAGGCTTGATTCTGTGAACTTTTTTTTTTGCCAGTGTGTTAACCACCAGCAGGCAATTTTAAAAGTCATCCTTTAGTGAATGATTGAATGAATAAATAAAAAGATCCTTTATTGTGTTAGTATTTCCCAAAAAAATTCCCTGAGGTATTCATTTTTCTGGTATTACATGAAACCAACCCCATGAAGTCTGTATTAGTGAGAAGATAATATTAGAAGATTACTAATTCAGATCACTCTGAGACATTTCTGCAGCAAATACAACTTTACATGCCAACTCTAAATCTAGAGAAGCTGATGTTAAAACAGAAAGCAACAAAACGACTTACCTGTGTAATCCATCCAGTTTTGGGTCAGAAATCTACTCTTCAGTGATTTCTAGTTAGCCTCTATTCTTCTGTGTCAGAAAGCACTGTATTCCAGTAAAAACACAGTAGCCCAGTTTTCCCCTTCTACGTCGGAGAAGGTTCAGTGTCATGGTTTGTTAGAGACCACCTTTAACAGCTTGTATTTGACATATGTTTTTGACTATATATTCAGGCACAAGCTTTAAAGGAATAAAACAACTATAAAGGATTTTCCAAAACCAGGAAACAAGAGGAAGGGCAGCTAAATAACAAAGAAGCAACATATAAAGAAAAAAAATCACTAAATGTGTTGTTATTGAAACAGACGTGAGAAGTATTGTTGGGGTAGGAGAGACATCATTATAGAAGGGGCAGGGACCTGGCTCAGTGGGCAAGACAGCTTATTGGACAGACATGAGGAGCAGAGTTTGCATCCCCAGAACCCATGAAAAGCATGGTGTGGCTATGTACGTCTGTAACCCTAGCCCTGCTGGAGGCGGAGGCAGGAGGATTGCTGGGACTTGCTGACTAGCCAAGATGGCAAGCTTCAGGTTCAGTGAGAGACCCTGTCTCAAGAGGAGGAGCCTGAGAACCACAGCCTACACCAAATGTCCTCTTTTGGCCTTTGCATGTGTATGCGTGGGTATTAGGAACCCCCCACACTGGCCCCCTCCCTCTACAAAGAATACGTGAGTAAAAAGCAGTTTCTTGGAAATAAGGCAAGAAATTCTTACTTTTCATGAAAGTAAAAGTGTTATCTCTTCCCCCCAAAGCCATGTTGACCAGCTCCAGAGGCACTAGGCATAGAGATCCCTACTCACCAACGCGTGCGGTGTGCTTACATATGGCTTTGTAATATTCACATCAGCTCACTTGCTTTAAAATACAGCAAGTGAACGCAGGGAGATTAGGTCTGCTTAGGAAAGCTGCTGTCAAGAGTAGTTAGAACAGAGGTTTTAATGGGGATATGGTATACATGTACATTTAAGTTATTTACTGTATTTAATAGGTATCACAAGAAAAATACACCTTTCTGTAGGTCGTGTTAAGAGTCCTTGAAGCATGTCCATTTGGTTGAATTTGCATTTTTATTTGATTAATCTGTTTATTCTTGGTGAAGAGGGCTACCACACATTCAGCATTTCATGTTTTTATTTACGAAGTGGTGTTATTTTAGCCTCTGCCTTGCATGGTGTTCATTCCTGTGACCTGTGACTACTTTCTAACTATTACCCTTATGGCTAGTAGCCCAAGTCTATATTAAGAGACACTCCTATTTTTGCTTATAATTTGTTCCTACAAAGACTTGAGACAGTTGAATCTGAAGGGGTTGAATAATAGATGTTTTAAAATAATAGTGTAAGAAGATTTAAAATATTATAAAAGGGAATTTAAAATATTTAAAAATATTTAAAGCTCAAATTATTTTTAATCATATAGGCTTGACATGATCTTGATATAGCTGTAATTCATTTTCTTATTCCTTTGTACAGTAGAACATATACTTGTCTACCTTAAAATAGATATACATTTGCCTGAGCATTTCAGAGAGGCTGGTTATTTCTGTCTGTATATTAATTAAATTTATGAGATCTGTATTTCTTACCAGTAGTTTTATCACTTTTATTTTTCTGACTTCATGACATTGTTACAAAATAACTGGTAGTAAAATCCAAAAGTTGTATAGTCAGTTATTTAAGGTAGATGAGGGATATAGGATTATGTATGTACTGTGCATCTAAGTCCCAGATAAGTCTATTGGAGTTAGCAATTTATTGCTGCAACAAAATACCTGGATAATCAACTTAAAAAGTAAAAAGGTCTGTTTTAGCTCATAGCTTGGGAGGTTTCTGTCCATAGTCAGTGGACCTGATTGCTTTTGGCCTGTGGTAAGGTAAGCATGTCATGGCGGGAGTGCATGGAGGGAGCAGAGAGGAGGAGGGTCGGTTGCAATGTCTCCTTCAAGGGTAATTCCTCTCCACTAGACTGCACTCCTGAAGATTCTGCTACCTCCCAGTGGTGGCTGGGGCCACTTACCCATCCCAAGTGTCGTCACAGTGTCATCATAGTGATGTGAAACAGCTCAAGGCTCGCCGTTGGTTTTCTTTTAAGGCAGGATCTCACCATGTAGCCCTGACTGACTTGGAACTGGCTGTGTGGAGCAGGTTGGCCTGGAATACTCACAGATCTGCCTGTCTCTGTCTCCTAAGTGCTGGGATTAAAGGCGTGAGACTATGGCAGCTTTAAACTACAGCATTGTTGAGATTTAATTTGTATATTGGCACTTATCCTTTTCTAAGTGTACAGTTCTATGGGTTTAAAGTTTTTGTTACATTTATCTGTGTGTGTGTTATGTACCTACCTGTATGTGTGTGATCACTTAAGTACATCTGTACATGTGTGGAAGTCAGAGGACAACTTGAAGGAGTTAGTTCTTTCCTTCCATCTTGTGAGTTCTAGGGTTCAAACTCAGGTGAGTCATCCTGTCAGCCCCTTGGTTTTTTAACATAGTTATAGAACTGTGTCTTGAACAGCACTGTGACATGCCAGTACGTGTTCCTTACCCTGAAAAGGAGCTCTGTGCCTGCTAACCTTACTCGGTTCTCTGCTCCTTTTGTCCTCACGTCCAGCCCTGGCAACCACTGATTTACTTGATGTGAATTTGCCTCTTCTGGACATAGCTTCTGGTTTCTCCATTTATCACAACATCTTTTTTAAAGGCTTTTTTGTCTGTTTGTTTGATTGAGTTTTTTTTTTTTTCAAGACAGGGTTTCTTTGTGTAGCTCTACCTGTCCTGGAACTCTCTGCAGAGGAGGATGGTCTTGAACTCACAAAGATCCACCTGCCTCTGACTCCCAAGTGCTGGGATTAAAGATGTGCGCCACCACCACCTGGCCCAGCATGACTTTTTTACATGGTCATGTACTTCACTCTTTTTGTGGTTGAATAATATGTCAGTAGATTGAGAAACCACATTTCATCTATTCATGAATTGATAGACATTTGTATCATTTGTACTTTTTGGCGTCTATGAAAAAGGTGCTGTGGCCAGTCACGTCCATGATTTTATGTGGGCGTATTATTTTTGATTCTCCTGAGCATATGCTTAGGAGTGGAAATCGCCAGTTATGTGGGAAACTTTATGTTTAACTATTTGAAGAACTACCAAACTGTTTTCCAAGGTGGCTCCACCTTTTTATGGCTCTGTAGCAATGCGACAGAGGGGTCCTTCCAGCTTTTCCTCTTCCTTCCTCACCTTGATCTTCCCAGTTAGGACCAGCTTTGGGCATCTTGCTGTATGCTTTTCAGTCTCCATACTTCTCTGTACTGGCTGGTTTTGTGTGTCAACTTGACACAAGCTAGAGTCATTGGAGAGGAAGGAGCCTCAGCTGAGGAAATGCCTCCATAGAGATCCAGCTGTAAGGCATTGTCTCAATTAGTGAACAATGAGGGAGGGCCCAGCCTGTTGTGGGTGGTGC